CCTTATAGAATATTGCTTGTTTTCGTTGACGATTTTATTTCTGTAAATATTCTCACCCACCACGCCGATCTCTTCCACTAGCACGTACTGATAAAGTCAACAGTAGCGAGACGACGGCCAAACCACACAATTATTGATTTTCTACCCGTTCAACTTTTAGCTGTTTTATGCACACGCCAGAACTAGCTACCTCATTTGCTGCTTTTCCCTACTCTGATGATGGGCTCCTACAGGAGCCTGAAAGCTCAGGCTAATAAAATAATAATTCCAGTGTACGATGATTCTTCTTATTCTCAAAATATTCACGTTCCTGGGATGCGAACATTCGCCCCAATTCGTGAGTCACAGCACTACTAGCACTCCGCTAAATCGCCAGTTAATAGCAGCATAGGATGACGATACCCCGCGATTATGCTCAAATTATATCGGAAGCTAGGTGTTGTAGTAGGCCTGCAGGTAGCCTTTACACGGCAAAAGGCACTGCATGAGGCATAAAGATATGGTAAAACTTGTGCTTCTAGTTAATAGCGCTTTGCCTTAATCCATAAACTATTAACCTACTCTACCCCATACAGATTGGGAGTGCACACAGCGTGCCGGCTCCCTATAGGCACACACAGGCCATATCTTACTATACTAGTTACTGGTCTTAGTAAATATGGTTACTAGAATTAGCACTTTAGCATTGGCAAGTACTTATAGCAGCAGTATCCGAGGCCTCCTAGTCCACCTTCTAGTGGAAACGGACACAGCCTGGGAGGACTGAGTTGATAGGACGTAATACAAGGCAAACGCTGATGTGCTCAGAGTCTGAAATAGCATAAATTCAGATTTCCCACTCCTCGTTGGGAACAAAGGAAGTATGAGCCCCAGCGCTAACTCCAAACCAGCATCACTTCTAAAAAATGTTAGCGTTAGAAATAGTACCAGTACCAAAAAGACTCGGCTAGTCAGTAGTAGTAATAGAATCAGTAGTAAGCCTATCATTATCGGCCTCCTCGGGCCTGTCTTCACACCTACTAAGGGTGAGAAAGGGTAGATATTACAGTAGTACCCGTGCAAAGTCTACTGTCACTTTACACTAAGTAAGCCGGTGTTTCGGCTTGAATTGGAGAAAGCAGCCTTCGCCGGGCCCCGTTTAGTCTTCGAGACTCCGGACGAAGGTGGAGAGTGCGGCTGACGCT